GCCATCCCCGCCCTGCTCCCGGGCACCGCCATCCCCGCCCTGCTTCCCGGGCACCGCCATCCCTGCCCTGCTCCCGGGCACCGCCATCCCTGCCCTGCCTCCCGGGCACGGCCATCCCAGCCCTGCTCCCGGGCACCGCCATCCCTGCCCTGCTCCCGGGCACCGCCATCCCTGCCCTGCCTCCCGGGCACGGCCATCCCAGCCCTGTTTCCCGGGCACGGCCATCCCCGCCCTGCTCCCGGGCACCGCCATCCCCGCCGTAAGACTTAGGTTGCCTGTCAATTTATTTCCGTTTGGGTAGAGGCACCTTTGGGATTATTTTTTGGCCTGAAAACGGGAGGATGTAATTGTAAGAAGACAGGTTCCTTTAAGATCAAGGGGAGGGGGAAGCAGGTAAGGAACATTCCCCCTAGTAGTCTCCTGGGTGAATTTTCAGAGGAATGAGATTCAATAGAAGCCATGAAAGGGCTAGGTAAGATCAAGGTGATACACTATTGTGTAGAAGTATGGCCAAACCTAGATGTGAAGGGAGGATGGCCGTGGTGTGGGACAAAACACAAGTGGATGTGTCAATAAGCAAGTCACTATCTGAAAGCTCAAAAGGATACTGATCCCGAGCAACTATTATATGCAACCTGTTTGCTAAAGAGTATAACTGAGGATAAAAGTGTACGAGTGTGCAAAGTACAGAGGAAAAAAAGAGGAGAATAAATAAGGAGAGGAGGTAGAAAAATAAATTAGTAAGAACTGGGACCCTTTGGATTGCTTACCTCCTGTTGCCCCTCCAGTCTATCCTCATCTCCTCAAATGGCATACCTGGCTCTTCTCCCAGCTGCCATCCTTTTACCACCCCCTCTAATTTCTCCTTCTTCGGCTTCTTCTGTGGCAGACCTGGTACCTCCCCTGGTGGCCACTCCTCTACCACCCCCTCCAGCTCCTTCAGTTGCTTCTGCACCACCACAAGTGCTTGTGGTTGCACTCTCCGCACCTTCACTAACTTCATTTACTATGCACCCAGGCCCTTCTCCCTCTGTGCCCTTACCTCCTCCTAATTCGGACATGGGTACTCCCTTGCCCAGTAATCGCTTATTATCAGGAACAATTACTGATTTACAACAGGCTCAAGCTAATACTAACAAGTCTCAGAGAGAGAATTTAGTGTCTGAGGAAGGGCCCTTACTGTGGCACTCGGTCTAGGATGTCAAAAGTAGAAAGGCTTTTCCCCCTCAGAGAGGTTCCTATGGGAGGAGTGCAGGGAGGTGTTGGCTTTGTAAATGCTCCCTTAACAGCCTCTGAAGTGAGAGGGTTTAAAAAGGAGTTGGGGAACCTTGTTGAGGACCCTGTGGGCACTGCCAACCAAGTAGATCAATTTTTGGGGCCAAACATCTATACTTGGGGGGAAATGAATTCTATTCTGAATATATTGTTTTCCCCAGAGAAGGTTTAGATGATTCAAGCCTCAACCATAAGAATTTGGGAAAAAGATAACCTGCCTGGACCCCAAGTACCCTTAGGAGAACAAAAATTGCCTCTAGTGGATCCTAATTAGAAGCCCAACCAGGAGGAGGGGAGGAAAGCCATGATGGAGCACATGTCGTTGATAATCCAGGGGATCAGAGAATCAGTTCCCAAAAGAACTAACACAAAACTGGCATTCGAGAGTGCACAAGAAAAAGATGAGACTCTGCTACCTGGCTTAACTGCCTACAGTGGAATTTCCAACTATATTCCAAAATAGATCCAGATAGCACAGAAGGACAAGTATTGTTAAAAGTGCATTTTGTTACTGAATCTTGGCCTGATATACAAAAAAAATTGGAAAAGATTGAAGACTGCCAAGAGAAGGACATTAATGAACTGCTGCGGGAAGCATTGAAGGTGTATCTGAGGAGGGAAGAAGAGCCAAAGCTAAGGCGAGACTCATGGTGGCTGTAGCTAGAGAAAGTGTGGGGACAAATAATCCTGTACCACAACCCAAGGTAAAGAAAGGATGGTCGGGTCCACAACCAGAAGCAGTCAAAGATAGGCCAGTACCATCAGACATGAATAATGAGTCTAAGAGAATGAGGAGACCTCAAGCCCCTTTAAGTGAATGGCACTGCTATTATTGCAGAGAAACTGGGCACCTTAGGAAGTTTTGTATAAAGCTCAGTACTGATGAAGCAATAGATGAAGCCAAAGAACAGGAAGCCTTAGGGAAGATTCTTAGAGGTGATGATTAGGGGTGCCATGGGCTTTATACTATGAGGGACCTGATGAAACATCTAGAAAATCCCTTGGTAAACTTTGAAGTGGGACCCCTAAATGAGGAGTTTGAATTTTTGGTAGATACCAGAGCAGGTAAGTCCTGTCTCAACAAGTTACTAGAAGGCATGGTAATTGGAAAATTTTGTGAGATATTAGGGGCTGAAGGAGAACCATTTAGAGCCTCAGTAACTGAGGATGTCAAAATAATAGGAAACTCAAGGCAGTGTAAAGCTAATTTTATTTATCTGCCTAAACTGGAGAAAAGTCTGTTAGGAAGAGACCTACAGGTTTACTTGGGGGTTGGGATCATCCCAAGATAAAGGAAGATAGTGGTACAGAAAATGAAGTTATTCCAAGGGGTATTGCAGAGGTAAATCCAAAAGAATGGGCTGAAGAAGGAAAGCGTGGTCATCCCACGATAACAAAAATGCAGGATGGAACTTCGCCCATATGGGGTAAACAGTATCCAATTTCCTTAGAGGGAAGAAGGAGGCTTGCTAGTTATTGAACAATTGTAGCAAGTGGGAATTTTAAAACCTTGTATGTAACCACACAATACCCCCATACTGGCAATTAAGAAAGCTGAGGGGAAATACAGATTAGTACAAGACCTGAAGGAGGTCAACAAGAGGACCATTGCTAGACATCCAGTTGTGCCCAGCCTGTATTGTCTTCTAAGCTAAATTCCAAGGAACCATGCTTGGTTTACTATTACAGATCTAAAGGATGCTTTCTGGGCGTGTCCCCTAGCAAAGGAATGTAGAGATTGGTTCGCCTTTGAATGGGAGGACCCAGATACAAAAAGGAAACAGCACCTAAGATGGAGCTAAGATGGACCCAATTACCCCAAGGGATCATTGAATCCCCTAACCTCTTTGGACAAGCCATGGAGGGTTTGTTAGAACAGTTTATCCACAAGGAAGATGCACCGATCCTCCAGTATGTAGATGGTGTCAGGAAAAGAGAAAGACCAAGTCAAAACAACTAGCATTAAACTTCTAAATTTTCTGTGGCAGAAAGGACTAAAAGTTTCACAAGAGAAGCTACAATTCATACAGTCCGAAATAACATACCTTGGGCACATAATAGGAGAGGAATATAAGAAGCTGAGCCCTGAGAGAATCTCAGGTGTTTTATCTCTCCCAGCTCCAAAAACCAAAAGGGATGTAAGAAAGCTCCAAGGCCTGTTTGGATATTGCAAGCTATGGTTAGACCAATAGACACACAGTGTAAATTTTTTTCTATGATAAATTGGTAGCTCCAGATCCCATAATTTGGGAGATTAACAACTGGAAAGTCTAAAAGACAAGTTATCTTCTGCCCCAGTCCTAAGCTTACCAGACCTTAGGAAGGAGTTTGATCTTTTAATGAGTGCTGAATATAGCCTATGGTGTACTAATTCAAGAGTGGTGAGGCTGCAGGAAACCCATGGCTTATATTTCCAAATTGTTAGATCCAGTGGCTAGAGGCTGGCCAGTTTGTGTACAAGCAGTAGCAGCTACTGCTATCCAGATAGAGGAGACTCAAAAATTGACATTACAAGGAAAAATCAAAGTACATACTCCACATGACCTCAAAACAATTTTGAGCCAAAATGCTCAACAACGGCTAACTGATGCCAGAATTTTAAAATAAGAAATAATACTAATGAACACAGATGATTTAGAATTAATCATCTCAAATGCCCTCAATCCAGCACAATTTCTTATGGGGAGCCTATAAAAAATTTAGAACATGATTGCCTTGAATTGATTAACCTCTAAACAAAAGTAAGAGAGGATTTAGAAAATCAGACTCTAGCAAATGGAAAAAAACCCATCTTTTTTATAGATGGTTCTTTTAGGGTAGCAGATGGAAAAAGAAGTTCAGGTTATGCCATCATAGATGAAGAAACTTTACAAATTAATGAAAAAGGGTAATTACCTCCAAACTTGTCAGCCCTAAGTTGTGAAATACATGCCCTAAAAAGAGGATTAGATTTTTTGGAAGGAGACCGGGGAACCATCTATATGGAGTCCCAATATGCATTCAGGATAGTCCACACATTTGGGAAAATCTGGGAGGAGTGTGGCTATCTAAGCTCAAAAGGAAAAGGTCTAGCTCATGAGAATTTGGTCAGGTCTGTACTAGAATCTCTACAGAAACCAACAGATATAGCTGTGGTCCATATAAAAGGGCACCAAAAAGGGGACAACTGCTGCAGTGTCAGTTCCTTAGAAGTAACCAGCCCAGCCTTGATTGACCCCGCAGGCAGCGGTGGCCTCCTTCCCAGTCCTCGGAAAGTCAGGACAGTGGCTTGTGGATCTGAACACCCCAGTCTCAGAGAGACTTTTGCGGCGAGGACAAAAGTGGGAGTTGGCTTCTTGCAGGAGTTTATAATCCAGGTTTATTAGGCGGCTCTGAGGAGCCACCTAAGCTAAAGGGAAACAGCCTGCAGAAATAGAAACCACACATGAAGGAGATGAGGAACCCATATTTAGTGAAAAGCAATTAGAAGCAATAAAAGATTTAAAGTTACATCAAGGGGAATGGGGGGAGTTGTTAACATCAGATGGACAGGTGTTTTTAAACAAAGCACTCGCCCAGACAGTGCTAACAGAACTGTATAAATTAACCCACTGGGGAGTCCAAGGACTATGTGATCATTTCCTAAGAAATACCCTGTGCATAGGTGTATATGACTTAGCAAAAGCAATTATGAAAGAGTGTTTAATTTGCCAAAAAATAAACCAGAAAGTTATGAGGAAAACTGCACTTGGAGGGAGGGAATTGGCTCTAAGACCTTTCCAGAGCATACAGATAGATTTCACTGGGATGCCCCCAGTGCAGGGATGCAAACATCTACTGGTTATGGTGGATCATCTCACCCATTGGGTGGAAGCCTTCCTGACCAAAAAGGAAACAGCCCAGGTCGTGGCAAAGTAATTTTAGAGAACATTATCCCCAGATACAGAATGGTAAACACCATACACTGAGATCAGGGTCCACATTTTGCAGACACTGCAAAATGTAATTGAAACCTTAGGAATAAAATGGAGATTGCACACTCCGTGGTACCCCCAGAGTTCTGGGAGAGTGGAGCGGACGAACAAAACTCTCAAAAATGTATTGACTAAATAGATTGAAGAAACAAAAACTGTTTGTCCCAAGTGCTTTTGCACATCAGAACAAGACTCCAGCCTGATATAGGAATTTCACCCTATGAGATGATGTTTGGATTACCATTCTTGTTAACACCCTATAGTACAGGGGACTATTTATAAGGAAAATAAGCTACCAGTAAATATTTACAGGTCATTGGAAGAACTCTGGAAGGACTTAGGAAAAGAGGATACCTCCCCCAAACCTCCCCTCTTGACACGAAAGTGAATAGCATTAGTCCAGGAGAATTGGGTTTTGATAAAATCTTGGAATAGTGGACAGCTAATGCTAAATTTGAAGGCCCCTTCGAAGTACTCCTCTTCACTAATTCTGCTGTATGGACCAGAGAGAAGGGTTGGACACACATCACAAGGGTCAAAGGACCAGTCTCACCCCCTGGCATTGGGCCAGATTCAACATCAGTCTCACTCTGATACTGGATCAGATTCAACGTCAGTCCCACCCCCTGGCATTGGACCAGATTCAACGTCAGTTTCACC